ATTCCATCTAGTATGTCAAAATATATTCTGTTATGTATAACTAAAAACAAATTTTAAAAAAGAAAAAAATGCTTCATTTTTTATATGTCATAATGACCTAATGATTATTTTAAAAAGACTTAAATATAGACAAAATGATATGATTTTTGAATTTGTTTAAAGAATAACTAGAGCTGGGTATAGTGGTGTATGCCTGTAATACCAGCAACTCAGGAGACTGAGACAGGAGAATCACAAGTTCAAGACTATCCTTAACAATTTAGTGAGATCCTCAACAACTTAGCAAGACCCTGTCTGAAAATGAAAAACAAAAAGGACTGGAGATGTAGTGCAGTGAGAAAACATCCATGGATTCAGTTCTTAGTACCAAAAAACAAACAACAGAGTGAAGGAATGGCATGATTTGGGGTTAGATGAAGCAAAAATTTGCCATGAGTTGATAATTGTTGAAGTTGGGTGAACGTTAAAAATTATATGAAGATTTACAGTTATGTCTGTCAAGTAAAAGACATTCTAATTATGTGTTTTTTCTAGGGAAAGCTATGAAGAAATGGGTAGAGTCAATTGCTAAGATCATCAAGAGGAAGAAGCAAGCTCAGGCAAATGGAATAAGCCATAATATTACCTTTGAAAGTCCACCTCCACCAATTGAATGGCATATCAGTAAACCAGGGCAGTTTGAAACATTTGATCTTATGACACTTCACCCAATAGAAATTGCTCGTCAGCTAACACTTTTGGAATCTGATCTCTACAGGTAGGTAATTGTTATTTCTTGGTCTATTTTCAAAAACCTTGAGCATACCTTTTACCTATTTTTTAAACATTTTGCTACATATCATGACTGCTTAAAAATATCTCATCTATTTTCCTGGGTTTGGAGGGAAGCTCATAGCAGTTTTAATCACAGTATGTCCTGTAGGTAAGTCTTCTAACATGTTGCTATATAGACCTAGATTAAGGATGAGCAATCCTTCACAAGAGGAATGGTAGGAAGACTAATGCAGTATAATGGTAACAACTATTCAACAGTAAGCCCCTGCCACTATCATTCCATTAAAATCTTTTCTGTATCCAGGAGCCCTCATTTGAAATATAAATATCTAGAGAAGTTATCCTAATAATAAGCAGCCATGTAATGAGTGCTCATGTATAACAAAAACATTACAGATGAAATTGAAATTCTATAATTCTCCCTAATTCATTGCTCTCCTTTCCCCACAAGAAATAACAACTACCCAGAATTTGATGCTTACTCTTCCTCTGTTTGTCTCTCTATATATACATACACACATTTTCCTGTACATTTTAAACATACTTATTCTGCATCATGTTTTTACTTATATTCTTTTTGATATCTGTTAAAGTCCATGAATATAGTTCTAGTTCACTTATTTTAGCCATTCTATGAGTATTCCACAGTTTATTCAGTCTCTTTTTGGTGAACTGGTAGATTGTTTGGCGT